GATGCTTACACTTAGAATTGGAAAATGGCAGTTGAAATTTCTATGATATGTTATGGAATAAGAAGATTTGGAGAAGTTAAGACTTGCAGGACATATTGAAAACGGATGGGTCAGAAGGTAACAATAAAGAACGTACCTAGCAAGCGTGTGTAAATTGATGACAGAACAGCAACATTGAGAAATAACGAAAAGACAACCGTTACTAAGCCTTACAACAGCTAGGAAGTTGTGGAGAATCGTGGTCTCCCACGTCCTGAAGGCACATAAAAGACGACATTGGCAGGGAGATGAGTGCAAATCAACGATGAGGAACACTTCCGATTCTAGTCATTGACTAAAGGGGAAAGTTTCTCTTTAACCGCATTAGACAGCTGGGCTAAATAAAACGTTGTATATTTGTTTGAGTTCAAACTTCTCTTGATACCAACTGATTTTTGATTTGATATACGTGAAAAATATTAAAGAGGAAAGTTTTGTTAATTTTTCTAATATATCCAAGCAGGAAATTGAATCATCAGTTCATGAATGCGCAGCTGGGAAAAGACTTAATAAATGCAGAAAAAAAAAAAAAAAAAAAAGGCTTTGCGTCTAAAACATTTCATTTTACGAATGGAAATTGATATCAAGTAAGAAAGAAATAAGTTAAATATTTTCGCAGTCCATATTAGTTTACAGTTTATGATTATAGAATTACAGAAGACCTTGTTTTGTTTCGATTACTTATATTATAAAGACGATTGTTGACGAAAAAAATGGAATATCTGAAAATAGAAAGAGATAAAGAAATTGTTGATAGAGACATATATATATATATATATATATATATATATATATATATATATATATATATATATATATGCATGTTTCATTAAAACGACAGACATGGTACTACGGTTGAGCTTTTTATTTAATTTTTCTTGTGTTCTGACAAGAGCTTTCTTTTCTGGAATTTTGTATTTCCGAGCGCTTTCGGCTATATCTTTAGCCATTATCAAGGATGATTCGATTATCAGCTTAGTAGAGTGTGTGCATTCTGTGTATGTTCAGTGTGTGGTAGTGATGTTTTTAATTTCCGAATACGGTTAGCACATTATGGCTTTGTTCCTCACCAAACCGGACTCATAAATAATTACATCGGCTACACAACCACATGTTTATCCAGACGTCTTACGTTACACCTATCTGATCACAGTTCCATCAGAACACATTTAAACACACACTCAGATTTACCAGACACTATTAGGAACATACTAGTAGAAAACACAAATATATTAACTGCATCCACTTGCAAAAAAGACTAAAAATAATGGAAGCTCTAATAATAAAAAAGAAAAAGCCAACTCTTATCAATATTAACTATGAACAAAGCCAGATAGATAGATAGATAGATAGATAGATAGATAGATAGATGGAGTTAGGTATTGAAAATTCAGAAAGTTCTGAAAAAGAAAGAAAGATTTAAGAATTGCAAATTTAATGAGGTAAAATATTCCGGAGAAGAAAGAAAGAAAGAAAGAAAGAAAGAAAGAAAGAAAGAAAGAAAGAATTACAATTTTAGAAAGACCGGAATTTTTGGAGAAGAAGCAAAGCAAGAACTGAAAATTTCGAAAGGGCTGAGAAAGAAAGAAAGAAAGAAAGAAAGAAAGCAAGAAAGAAAGAATTGAAAATTTAGAAAGTGCTAAGAAAGAAAGAAAGAAAGAAAGAAAGAAAGAAAGAAAGAAAGAAAGAAAAAAAGAAAAACAAAGATGGAGGAAAAAGTATTTAGAAGTGAAAATTCAAAAAGATAGAAGGTTCTAGAGAAGAAAGAAAGAAAAAAAGAAAGAAAGAAAGAAAAGAAAGAAAGAAAGATATAGATTTATGAACGCGAGAAATAGTGAAACGTAAAGACGAAAAGAAGACGAATTGACAAGGGAAGCCACTGACCAGTTGAAGAATTACAAAGACATGGAGACATAAAAAAAGAGACCAGAGAGAATGTAGGAAAAGAGAATGTTTTGTTGAAAGATAAGCACAAAAGAAAGAGAGATGAAGATGAAAACAAATTTAACATTCAACTGGGAGCGACAGTATAAGCGAGAGAAGCGGGCAATAGATGAAATCGACTTAAAAATAAGTAAAAGATTCGCCAAGGTTTGCTTTTCACAAATGGCGTACTGGCTCACTGCGCAGTTAGTAAGTTTAACGCGCTTTTTCTTTTCTTTTTTTATATTGCTAATTTTCGTCATTTTTTTCTCCGTACACACACACACACACACACATATATATATATATTAAGGAACATATAACGACGTTAGTGGAACTGATGACAATTTTTTATTGAGGTTGCAAAAGACGAGGGGGATTTTTTGTTCTACTTTGGGTACAAATTGAACTGCACGTTTCCTCCAATCGACGGCTTTGTGAACGACCATACACTGTGAATAGATGGGGGCCTTATTCTTCAACTAAGACTACTTGGATGTTTATGTAAGAACAATAAAGAGAGTGATCTCGTACATTT